TCTCTCTCTCTCTCTCTCTCTCTCTCTCTCTCTCTCTCTCTCTCTCTCCATTTCTCTTCTATTATCCTCCTCTCAAGTAATGTCTTCTTTTGGTATTCTTTTGAGTGCATAATATGTGTGCTTCAGAATGGTTTTTCGTGTGTGTGTGTGTATGAGTCGTGTGTGTATGGTGTACGTATATGTGTATGTATGTGCGTTGTATGCATGTGTGTATATTATATTATAATGTGTGTGTGTGTGTGTGTGTGTGTGTGTGTGTGTGTGTGTGTGTGTGTGTGTGTGTGTGTGTGTGTGTGTGTGTGTGATTTCTCTCAGTACACCCTGCAAGTTGACAGGTAAGACCATCAGGTTCTTGAACGTGCTTTCAAGCATGAACGATACAGTGTATGTTCGTTCCTACCCTTAGTCATAACTGTAACTGAGGGAGTAGGACCCGTGTTTACGCTTGCGAAGAACAGAAACAGGATTCTATCTGACAATCTATTGTTATCATGACCTACGTGATTTGAGCAAATCCGGCCTCAAAATGGGTGTGATCAGATTGTCGATCACATTGTCAGATAGAATCCTGTTGAAAACGAAACGGTAAACGCTTCTTGCGCTGAACACCATGCGCCCGAGAAAGACCTGTCGCCCTTAATGGATCGGGGACACTCATTAAATTGGTGGCCAAACAGGATTCGACTATCCCAAAACGGGAGCGGCTCTGTCGTCATTGGGAATTTCCTAAGATTAGAGTCGACTAAAAATTGAACAGTTTAAACGTCATTAAAATAAAGCTTTTGAACGACTTCTTGTGGAAACGGATCTAACGTTTTCATCGGCATGTGCTATATAAGCGTATGCCACAGTAGTGGACCCACAACAACATTGCTAGAGCAACAAGCACAGAAATCCAGCGCTAGCGAGATTAAAAGAGAATCCCTAACTTTGAAGTGTCGACCAACATTTTGCGCACCTGAACTCCAGCAGAACGTTATTCCAAGTAAGCATTTAATAACGTTTATTGCATCGAATTATAGAACTTGTTCCGAACTGATTTTCAAGACAGTCATCAAAAGACACAACTAGATACTAGATTTTAAATAAAATGAAGAATACCCAAAGTGAAATCCAAGTCGTTTGGGGAAATATCTTTTGCATCAATTTTGCTTGGCTTAAAATCTAAAACGTCCCCCCACAAAAGAACAGAGAGAAGTGTAAGTGAGAAATACACGTATATACTAAATAATAACTCTTTTAAACCCCATTTGAGAAAAACAAAAACAAAAACATTCTTTTTAGATCATAAATACTGTCATTCTCTTTCACTTCTGAGAATTTTTTCTTCAAAGGGATGTACAGCGTTCAGAGCATGATCCCTAGCGTGATAGACTACTCAGGACAGGCCATTTATTATTAAATTATTATTTAGGTTTTAATGTGTCCCGTTGTGTCGGCATTACCCAAGTGTGTTAAAATTACAATTTTACTTTCGATTTTGATTCTGGCCTTCTTATTAATTTCCTACATCTCGGCTTTCATCTCTTCAGTCGTTTCATCTCTTTTCTTTATATCGAACCTTGGGGGTTGAACCACATTATTATAGAGTCTAGTATTCTGTATTATGAATTTTCCTATGATGTAAACCTTAATTTCCCTTTCTCTTTTACTTTTATGAGTTTTTTTATTGCATTTTTGTTCTCTGATAATTACCTTAATGAAATATGGCGAAAGCATAGTAACTAACAATAGTGGTGAAGTTTGAGACAGACAGCGATGGATAGTCACAGAACCTTCTCATATTAATTAAAATGTTCGGTAAACCAAGGCGGAGTGAAGGTATTGTGGGGGTGTGTCAAACAGTATGTTTTGGTCAACGGTCGTGAAAGAATGACCTTGAGAAAAGAATCGAGGACTTGCGGAGCCAAAGGAGTTAAGAACTTTTTATCTCCTTGGCGGAGCCTCATCTCCCGTCAGTGAAAAGCGGGGGCAAAGATCCGGTTTTCCCATCAGTGTCACGACACACATGGGCAGCGGGTTTTCCTGTCACATTTCATAATTTGTAAAGCGTAGGCTTGATATTGATTTGATGGTGTGTGTGTGTGTGTGTGTGTGTGTGTGTGTGTGTGTGTGTGTGTGTGTGTGTGTGTGTGTGTGTGTGTGTGTGTGTGTGTGTGTGTGTGTGTGCTTGTGTTTGCCTCTCTCTCTCTCTCTCTCTCTCTCTCTCTCTCTCTCTCTCTCTCTCTCTCTGTGTGTGTGTGTGTGTGTGTTTGTGTGTGTGTGCCTTACAAAATGCAATTCAAATTCATATTGGATTAAACAACTGGGTGGAAAGGCTCTGTGGTCATGTCTACCAAATGAAGTGCATAATTTACTGTATCATTTATTATTTGTGAAGTATATGTATAACTTACTGACATCTTTGTAATGACACAGTTCTTTGTTTTTTTCTTTTCCCAGTATTGAAGACCTGATCATAGCAGATTTGCTGAAGATAACAACCACAGTTCATCACCAAAACCCGCTTCTGTAGACGCTCAAAGTTCTTTCCTACCAACACTCCAATAGACGAGGCAAACATGGCAGGCACAATAGATTTTGAAGCAAAACACACAGCCTATAAAGTTTTGTATGTGACTTTCATCATAGCAATTCTTGCCGCTAACATTGCTCTGTTGATCAAGTTCCTTAGGAAAGGGAGAATACTTCTGAGCCAGCGTAAATTCCTAGTTATGACCCTAGCCGGGGGTGACATCTTCATGGCTTTGTTCCCGTTAGTAGTCGCCGCACGCACAGTCTTTGAAGAGTACTTCTCTTTTAGCTGCAGTACATTATTCACCGCTGCGGTTTACTGGAAATATTATCTCCCATTTGTGTATGGCCTTGGTCTGGTCTTCCTGTGTGCAGAACTTCGCTTCAGGCGCCATCTTCGCTCTATGATCACAAGTCCGTATGTCGCTTCCATCTTAATAGCGGCGGTGCTTTGGATCTTTGGACTCATCCTGATTTTGCCTCTAGCTATGGCTGGCTTTGACACACTACGGTGCAGTTTTGACAGCTCCATGACAATCGAACGACTGAGAGCCCTGATTTTATTCGGTATGATTCTTCCCCCCGTTTCTGCTGTCATATTCGCTATCGCCATCAACTGTAAGAAGATCAAAGCAGTCCCCGAATACTATGACGTCCCCTCGGCACAAGGAACCGTCATATCGACTGCTGCATTGCCAGAATCTCAAGGCACCCTCCAACAACAGCATTATTTTGGACAGTTTCAAAGCCAGTACAACCAAGGGCTAGCTCCATCGTCACAACCGTCCAGCCACTCTGTGCAGCCGATCACCAACGTAAGTGGTCAGCTTCAGTCAGTGGCTTATCCTGCATATCCTCCCAACTCCCAGAAATCGTTTCCTCCTTCCCAAGCTGTGATGCCCGCTTCAACAGGCTCACCTGAGTCTGCTTCAGACGAAGAGTATTCCGAAAAGGCTGTGCGACAAGAACAAAGAGCCCTTCTGGCTGTTTCTATTCTCAACGTGATTCTGACACTGCCTCTGGCAATATTCACAATACCCGCCGCCAGTTTTGCACTTGGATACCAGGGGGCCAAGATCCCAGACGGCCTTGACGCTCTGTCGGCGGAGGTCTTGGGTGAGCTGTTCCTGTGGATGCTGTACCTCCGCTCTATCCTGACGCCTCTTGTCTGGATGTGGGGCGACCCGAAAGTTGCTTAAAGTAAAACTTCGAATTACAGATTTTACCATACGGATTGACTATTTCAATCTGGCGCTTTTTCTACCCATAACCGTCTCTACCCATCTTGTCATCTTTCCAGGGAAGACAGTTAAGTAATTAAGACCCATTAATTAAGACAAAAGCAAAAACACAAAGAAACATAAAAGTTTAGAAAATAAAAACAAAAGCTTCAAGAAAAAAGACCGGACAAAGTTGCAATTTACGAGGCGGAAGTTGACCCGACAATACTGAAAAACAGAACCTGCGAATCATTGGCATCACCTAGATAGTCACGTCCAGTGAACGTCATCCTGTTTCCTTTTAAACTTGTTATATTGTTATTAAGATTATTAAGATTATTATGATTATTATGATTATTGTGATTATTGTGATTATTATTATTATTATTATTATTGTTGTTATTATTGTTATTATTATCATCATCATCATCATCATCATCATCATCATCATCATCATCATCATCATCATCATCATTATTATTATTACTTTTAAAATTACTATTACTATTATTATTAATGTTGTTCTTGTTGCTGTTATTATTATTATTATTATTATTATTATTATTATTGTTATTATTATTATTATTATTATTATTATTATTGTTGTTGTTGCTGTTAGTCCTGTTGCTGTTGAAGTTGTTCTTTTTTTTAATCGTTATTATGGAGCATATTATACTGTGTCATGTAATGAACGCATACTCTGTACAAGAGAAAATACTGTGATAATAATTGAGTGCTGCATGCTGAGTTCAATGCTCTATTGTTTACGTACAAGTACCAGTGATTATTTTCAATCGTTTATGAATTATTCTGTACGTTTTTTGTGTGGAACATGAAGTGATAATATTATTTACCATGTGCTTAGACATCTACTCAATTTTTTTACTTGTTGAAATTTGTCATTCTTTGAATAGACCTTTTACTTTTAAAAAATAATTTATTGTTTACATTTATGAAGTCGTGAATAAAGTATATTTTACATTATGCATTAAAACAGTTGTTGTTGTCTCGATAGGGAAAAGGTGTCGTACTTTATTTAATTTTGTTTCTGTAGAGATCGTGCGCACGTCAACTTCTTTGGCGCATAGTACATGTAGTCCATTATGAACTGACGAACACTCTGAAACTTGAGGTAAATACGAGTTGGGTCCGGAATTTTTCTTTTTCTTGTTCCCCTCTTGTGTGTGTGTGTGTGGGAGGGGGGGGGTTGGGGGTGGGGGCATTAAAGTGCTGTGGCTTTGAAACATTGATCTCCTAGAAAGGTCTAGGGACCAAAAGTGACTTTGGCGCAGCGCAAGTGAAACTATTTAAAAAAAACAAGTCATAAATATTTTTTACGAAAGATGTCCACTGACAATTTTGAATGTAGGAAACTGGATTGCTCCTTTTTCCGGGTGGGGGAAGGGGGTGGGAGGAGAAGGGTCCTTAATTCTAATATATGACATTGACAATGACAACCTTTATTCATCTCGCAGGGAGAGATTTGTCTTGGTCGTTAACAATGGCAGCAGACGTTACGAAGGTTGGGTGCACTCAAGCATACCCACAACAAGACAGGATATTACTGTATTAGTAAATTATACAATTAAGTCTCACGTGCTGGGGCAACCCGCTCCGCTC